CTTATTTCTCTTTCGACGTGGGTCTAGGTCGTCTCCCATCAGCCCCCACTTCCGAAGCTTGTTGCCGCCCCAGTCGGATACGGTGCCAGCGAGCGTGGTGACCTCTTGCTTCGCGGACGATCCCACCTGCCGCGAGATCCTAGTGATGCGTTTGCCGGCCCTGCAGGGAAGAGGGGGAATACTCATGAAAACGCTGCCGTAGTCGTTAGGCCACGGATCTCGCATCCTTACAATGCTACCGGGACATGCCGGGATTCTTGGCGGCCCGGGCTAAGTTTCACCGGGAGGAACCAGAACCTGGTTATCATCCTTACGTTTGGGGGGGGTATACTGCCAGGCGAATGTATGTAAGGGCAACGACAAGAAAAGTAGGAAGATACACTGTACCTGAGAGTTTTCTGTCTAATCTTGTACTGTCGGTCCAGCTCCAAAGCTTCCTTCGACACCTTGGCGACGGTTTCGGTGTACTTGGCGGACAGCCCCCACGCCTGATCATACCTCTCGAAAACTCTCCAGTAGGTGTAAGACAGCTTGCCTGTTTCATTTCGTGCGTCGACATGCTCACTGTTAGTATTTTCATGCCAGATATCGAACATGAGATGTTTTTTTTGTTTTTTTGGCTCGGTCAAGTGTGGGAAACACACACGCTAAGAGGGAGGGAGTGGTCTCTGGGGGCATCTTGCACTGCATCGGAGAAAAAGTAGAGGGAAACGAAGGAGGGAGGGGGAAGTGAGAGAGAAATGAGAAAACTACTGAAAGAAACGAACAAAGCTACATACAAAAATACGAGTGAAACAATAAAGAGCACAATTCACGCTCATCTGTTTTCGCGAGCGATGCCCAATAGGGTCTGCTCCCCGCCTCAGGAAAAAATACCAACATGAGCTTGGCAGCACCAATCAGTCCTCCCCTACCCTCACCCCCCTCCTCGACTCACCGGTTTTGTACAGGAAAACCGTCTGCTCCCACCAGTCTCGTACATCTTTGTACATCAACGCCACCTTTCATGGCACAAAAAACGGGGGAATAAAACAATACGGGCGCGATGTCCTCATTCTGTGTTGAAACAAACAAACAAAAACGCCATTCTCAATTTCTTATTTTATCGTTTTCATTGCAATGGGCAGATTGATCCTGGTTATGTCCACTACTGGTTATTGTGACCTCATCTCGATGGCAAGAAAAAGACAGAACAATAGACAATTGAGCATGTGTCCACAGAGATGAAGCCAATAAAGGACCGGCAGTATTCTTATTGGTCAACCTTGCTAGTAATCTCCAACGGTCGTCGAGACACCTGATTGCCTCATGGACAACTGGCAGACCTTACAGCGTCGTCCTCGCTGGAAAGAAACGTCAATCAATTTCTCAGAAAATTTAACGAACTCGCGCCAAAGCGGGACTCTTCCTGCATGACGAGGGAACGCGAATCGACCGTTGCACTTGGCTAGATTCGGTCGTAGACCTTCGCTAAAAGATATTACTTCTACAAGGTGAGACCGCTGCGGTGCCAAGGGCTTGAGAAGAGCAATCGTACGAGTTCAGTGGCACCTGTATCCCGCAGGTGGAGCAAATGGTCCCCACAGTTCCCGTGGAAGAACGAGATAACGCCGCGAATGCCAGCGCTCCCGTGACCCCTCCCACCAGCCATAGGTTTGGCAACACAGACCTAGAGAGAGAAAGGAGGGAGAACGGAGAGAGCGGGAGACGGAAGGGTCGGCGGCATGTACGTCCTCGTCTTTGACGGCAGCGTGAGGCCTTACCGATGTGATGTGATGTGATTATCTCTCTTATCCCTCTCCCGGCGACACCGCGCACCTCTAGCTTTCGCACAAACTGCAAGAGGAAACACCTCAACCCGCACTCGCACCACAGTAGCATAGCACCACTGCTAACACTTACTACAGCAGTGGCGGTTCGAGGGGGCCTACTTACGCCCACCGCGCAGCACGAGCCTGGCCAAGGAGAGGATCTATCTATCTCTCGACTCACTCACCAACCGACAATCATCCCTGCAACGCTGCCGGCGAACGCTGCCCCGAGCATCTTGGCGCGAGTGTCGATTATGAACTTGCGGTCCCTGACCTCCGACTTTGCGCACCGGGGACAGCCAGAACGACGGGCAGAGAAAAGTAAGGAGGCGTTTGGCCATGTTGGGAGGCATTGTAATACCCTGCTTAAACCCCTTCTACAAGTCTGGATTAAACACAAGTGCAACCTATTTAGTTGTCAGGCGCGCTTGAATGTTTGGGGTGTAGTCGTGTTTACATATCCACGCAGTACTCTTTCGATCAAGTACCTCACGGGGCATCCCTGGAAGAGGTGCGACCGAGCGCATCTCTGGGCCTTCGCCCACCAGGCTCGCTTAACCACGAGAGCCAAGTGACATCAAGTTGCGGGGGGATACCTAACACACACAAAACCTTTAGCCAGAAAATAATACTTTATCAACCAGTGTACCAACCGAGTTGGAGCACTACCTACCCCTGCGTCTTCCATGGAATTTAATCACACTCATTAGGAATCGTTGCTGATCATATCTACTTCTCTATAAGGCCTGGAAAAGTACCGACCGTGTCTGGAAGAACTGGCGGTGACTCTCGGGCTTGCCCACGGATGCTCGTCAAACTCGACACATCGAGCAGTGCGGCTACATTCCCAAAAAGCCAACATGTACACACGTCGTTTCTCACAAGCACGACACTGGGGATCACTCTGTCACGTCATGCAGACTGCCTGAAAAAGATCCCACCCCCCACCGCCCCCGGTAGGAAGGAGCGAGTGGCCATTGATCGGTGATCGGTCCTGTGGGAACAATGCTCCGTCCTCTCCATCCTCTCAAGGACGTGTGGTCACTTGTCTAATCACTAAGGCATGCAAAACGCAAGATTACCCCCCCCCCCCCCCCCCCCCCCCCCCCCCCCCCCCCCCCCCCCCCCCCCCCCCCCCCCCCCCCC